CAAGTCTTAAAGCTGTCAAGTTTGAAGACCCCTGTTCTAGTCCAACCCCCTGCTCCAGGAGGAGATCCTTAAAGAATCATAGAATAGCAGTTAGAAAGAACCTTGGAGGCCATCTAGTCCAACCCCCTGCTCCAGCAGGAGACCTTATATCATCTGGAATCTGGATTATTTTGGTGCCTCTAACAGAGAGGAAAATTGGCAGAGGAGTTTACTAGGACAAGGCTGCCATGCAGAGGAAGGCAGAGATAGTCCTTCACTTATAACCACAATTGAGCCCAAAATTTTGGTTGCTAAGCAAGAGCATTATTAAGTGAGTTTCACCACATTTTACTCAATCCATGATATCTCCTGGGTCTAATGGTGATGTGCAGACTAGGGAAATAAATCTGAAGGTGTGTGTAATGTTCTAATCTACAGAAGTTATAGTTAAATGTGTAGCAGAAAGTGGACTATGTGAGTATTTTTCCAAACACAATGAGGTTGAATGTGTATAGTTTTTAGAAGAGCGCTCTCTGTTTGTGTGTGTACATGCACATACAGTATATGTAGCAGATAATGTATTTTTGTGTGTGCCTTTACACACACTATACTATGTAATATGTATGTACACATATGGCATATGTACATAGGATTACATAGTGTGTTTTGGATGTTCAGTAATAGTAAATAAATAGAGAGGGAAATTGTATTTCTTTGAGGCCAGGCAAGGCACCCCTTGACATGAGTGATGTCAAGTTGGCCATGCCCACCCAGTCACATGACCAAGACACATCCACCCAGTCACATGACCACCAAGCCACACCCACCAGGGGTGGAATTCAAATTTCTTAACTGGTTCTGTGGGCATGGCTTAATTTGTGGGTGTGGCTTACTGGCTGGGCATGGCTTGGTGGTCACATGACTGGCTGGGCGTGGTCATGTGACTGTGTGGGCGTGACCAACTCAATGTCTCTCACGTCAAGAGGTGCCTCCCCCCTCCCCCCCAGCCATTCTTTGTCACACCCAGCCTCAACTTTATAGTTCTGTAAAAATGTTCACCATTTTTTGACTTTATTATCTACGTACTATAGGTGTACTTTCATGGACCACTGAAAGGAGGAAATGGGTCACATGCTTTGCTCAAGAGTGTGATAGGCAACAGGCTTTTAAAGGGCTGCCAGAAAGAGGGGGGGCAATGTGTTTTCCAAAGCACCAGAAGGCAAACAAGAAGCAATGGATGAACAAAGAGAGAAGCAAACTAAGACTAAGGAGAAACTTCCTGACAGTGAGAACAATTGACCAGTGGAACTGCTTGCCACCAGAAGTTCTGGATGCTCCAACATTGGAGGTTTTATGAAAAGACTGGACAGCCATTTCTCTGAATGGTATAGGGTTCCCCCCAGGGTCTCTTCTAAGTGTTATTCTGTTATTCTGACACCTTTTCCAGAACCTCTACTCAGAGTTTGGCATCCTCAGTTTTCCTGCGTGAGCAGGGGGTTGGACTAGAAGACCTCCATATCCCTTTCAACTCTGTTAAACACATATGTATTTATGCTCTGGACTATAGACATGTAAACTCTGAAAAATACCTGGGCAAAAGAAAGGCAGTAAAATCACTAGGTGTAGGGACAGTGCAAAATATTAATATATGATAAAAAATGGTACAATTAAAAATAATAGCAGAGTTTTCTCTCTTTCCCCCTTCCTATTTCTTTTCTTTTTTTTTCTTCCTTCCTTCCTTCCTATTTCTTTTTCTTTCTTTCTCTTTCTCTCCCTTCCTCTTTCTTTCTTGCTATTCTCTCTCTCTCTCTCTCTCTCTCTCACACACACACACACACACACACACACACACACACACACCCTTCTAACCCTGCTATTCTATGATTTTGTAAGGATCTCCTGCTGGAGCAGGGGGTTGGACTAGAAGATGACCTCCGAGATCCCTTCCAGCCCTAGATTGCTATGCTATTTCAGAGTTTTCTGAAGCCAGGATTTGTGTCCTTCCTTCCTCTCCTTTTTTCTCTCTTCCTCCCTCCCTCCGTCTATGTATCAATCCATCCATATATCTCATTCACTTTCTCCTCCCTCTCTCCCTCTCTTTCCTTCTTTGTCCCATCTCTCCCTGTCTTTGTCTATCCCTTTTCTTCCTTTCGCTTCCTTTCTCTTTTTTCTTTCTTCTCTCTCTCTCTCTCTTCCCCCCTCTCACTTCCCTCCTCTCTCTGTGTCTCTCTATGGCTCTCTCCCCCCACCATCTCTCTGTGTGTGTCTCTCTCTGTGTCCCTCTCCCTATCTTCCCCTCTCTCCCTCCCTCTCTCTGTGTCTCTCTCTGTGTGTTTGTGTGTGCATGTGTGTCTCAAAGACATGGCTGGACCAAGCCAGCAAGTTCTCCTTGGTGTTCTTTGCTACTTCTTTTCATTTCTTCTTTTTGGAATGTAGACTGGCTGAACAATGATCCTTCTCCTCCTCTTCCTCCTCTCGTGACCAGCGGCTGTGGTGGGGCAGGGGAGTTGCACACACGTGGGGACGGTCCTCAAGCGAGCAGCCGCCTGCTCCGCACCTGGGTGTTCTGTGCTTTGGCACTCGCTTGAGGAGCGTCTCCCTGTGTGTGTGCACTCCCCCGGCCCCCGCCCCATCACAGCTGCCAGTCACAAGAGGAGGAGAAGGGTCTCCCGAAGGGACACTTCCACCGTGACTGGCGATTGTTGTGAACCAGTCTGGATTCCAAAACGAAGAAATGAAAGAAGTAGCAAAGAGCGCCAAGGAGAGTTTACTGGCTTGGCTCAGCTGCAGCTTTGAGGGAGAGACACAGAGGGGGCGGGGAGAGAGAGAGGTGGCAGTGCATCCTGGCAATGTGCCGGTGGTGGGGAATTTCCTTGGGCAGCTTCGGTGGCGGCGGAGGCAGAGCACACCGGGGCGTTCCCCCAGCTGGATCCAGCAACACCAGGGGGAGAAAGGGAACATTCCCTTCTCTCCCGGGCAGTGTGGCCATGGCCTTGCAGTGTGGGGGGGGTGCAGCTAGCTAGCTAGGTCGTGGCGAAGCAAACCAGGCAAGCCTGGGGACAGGGGGGAGGGACAGCGCAGCAGCCTAGGCTGGCCCAGGAGTCGACTCGACGGGGGCTTGTTTGTAGGCTCACTCACCCAGGGAGATCAGGGCCGCGGTGGAAAGCAGGCAGCAATGGTGGGTGAAGGCAGGTTAGCAATGGCGAGTGAGATGAGGAATGCCTGAGTGGGGCAAGTGAGTGGGCAGGAAGGGGTGGTGCCAGCCAGGGGCACAATTTACCGGTTCTCTGAACTGCGCAGAATCATAACGTTCGGTTCTATTGAACCAGTTCGAACCGGTAGAATCCCACCCCAACACCCACCCAATCACAGGACCACCAAGCCACACCCACCAAATAAGCCACACCCACAGAATCGGTAGTAAAAAAATTGAATCCCACCACTGTTTAGAACTCTGGGATCCATCAAGTCCCAGTGATTTGTATTCAAGATGAAACTTTTTTTTGGCTTATTTTAAGAAAAATAAGCTTTTATTTTTAGTCTGTCTTTTACAGTTATGTTTTTGGTAGGTTGGACTACTGTTTCTTTTTGCATGAAGATTGAAACAAAGAATGAGTTAAGCAGCTCTGCTTTCTCTCTGTTGTCTGTTACTTGCTTGCCATCTTCTCTCTTTAATTAACCGACTATTTTCTTTATTTTTTTCTTGTTATTTATATGCTGGAAGAAACTTTTATCTTTGACTTTTGTTTCAAGTCTTTGTTCATTCTGAGCCTTTGCTTTCCTGACTTCGTCTTTGCAGATTCTGGCTATCTGCTGATATTCTGCCTTATTTGTGTGTCCCTCTTTCCATATTTTGTACTTGTCCTTTTTGTCTTTCAATTTGTCAGAGAGATTTTTGTGCAGCCATTCTGGTTTCTTCTTGGATTTCTTGTTTTTCTTTTTCACCAGTATTGTGCTGGTCTGGGCTTTTATATTTTTCAGAATTTCCCAAGCTTCTTGAGTTCTTTTCTCCTTAAGGATTTTCATCCAAGGAATCTTTCCCAAGTTCTCTCTGAGTTTGTTAAATCAGCTCCTTTAAAATCTAGGACTCTGGTGTCATTGTGTTCTATTACTTGTGTTTGCGTTATGTTGAATTCTAGTATGACATAGTCACTCTCACCCAAGGTTCCAACACCCTTTATTACTTATTCTCTGTTTGTAAGAATTAAGTTCAGTATGGCTGATAAACATGAGGGACATGGTGGCTCAGCAGCTAAGACGCTGAGCTTGTTGATAAGAAAGATCGGCAGTTTGGCGGTTCGAATCCCTAGCACCGCATAATGGAATGAGTTCCCATTACTTGTCCCAGCTTCTGCCATCCTAGCAGTTCGAAAACATGTTAAAATGTAAGTAGAAAAATAGGGACCAATTTGGTGGAAGGTAACAGCGTTCCATGCACTTTTGGTGTTTAGTCATGCCAGCCACATGACCATGGAGACACCTTTGGACAGCGATGGCTTTTTGGCTTTGTAACAGAGATGAGCACCGCCCCCTAGAGCCAGAAACAACTAGCACGTATGTGTGAGGGGAACCTTTATCTTTACCTGTGGCTGATAAACAGATACAGTAAGAGCAGGTGAAAGAGGATATCTTGGTATAGATTGGACATCCTTTCTTCCATTTTCAGCAGCCTATATTAAACCGATACTTGTTCTGTAACAGCTTTGCCTATGTCACAATAGCTTCTAAGGATCATCAGTGCTCTTCATTTGGTCACCAAAAAGTACTTCGGAGCATATAGGAGCATGAACCTAATGCCTGTTTGTAAAGGCTTGATTGCAATTCTGTTTTCTGTGAATGCAGAGACAGTTGGGAGCAACTTTCAAAGCCCCACAAGCCTTGGGTAAAAATGTGTGCTTTATCAATATAAAAATAGGTGCTCACAGATGCTTTCGTGCATTCTAAAGATAGATTTACACATTTATAGAAAATGCACATTCTTTCCTTCTGTTATTTTCACTTTATGCTGCTTTTAATTACAGAAAGGCAAATGTTCTTCTGGAGACAAGACAAGTAGCTATGAAAATCTTTGAAGATTACACCGTTTCCTGGTACTGGATAATAATGTAAGCATAGGACTGAATAGCCCAGTTACTGTCATCTATAGCAGGAATCCCCAACCTTTTCGACGCGGCGGCCCGGTTCCGACATCAGCTGGGCGCCGCGGCCCGGTACCGGCGTCAACTGGGCGCCGCCATCTTTTTATGACGAAAAGGCGCTTCCGGTGACGTCACCGGAAGCACTGTTTCGTCATAAAAAGATGGCGGCGCCAGCGCTTCTGGTGAGCTTTTTCGGGTAGAAATGGCTTTCTACCCGGAAAAGCTCACCGGAAGCGCTTTTTTACCAAAAAAAAGATGGCGGCGCCCAGCAACCAGCGGCCCGGTAAGGCTTGTTCCGCGGACCGGTACCGGTCCGCGGACCGGCGGTTGGGGACCCCTGATCTATAGAATGAATTTGGGGCCAAACTATCCCAAAAACGGAACATTGGAGAAATTAGAAAATGTATAAACTTGAGGTGGTTTATATGAGGATCTCCCTTAATTTAATCCATATCAACCTTACAAAGGAGGATTGACCTGAGATAACAACTGGCCCAAAACCACTCAGTAAGCCAATTATCAAGCAAGATTTTGGGCTTGGGTTTCTTTGGCCTGTATCCAAAATTTTAACTTATTACACTAGCAGTCTTGGCACTCTGTCTTTGCTCTAGCTGAAGTAATGCTCCCTTGCCTGCCTATTTATTTATTCCCTCAATTTAGGGGAGCATTCTGCAATGAACATTCATTTGTTTTACATAATTTACATTGTTTATCCATATCCATCCATATTGGCTTGTTTCACAACCAAATGTTTTAATTTATTTGGGATTTCATTTATTTGGGATGTGTAAATCAGACTACTGTAGTTTATTCAACTACTGTAGTTTATTCAACAAATCATGTGTTTAAAAATCCTGGTTTAGCATTAGGAATGACTAGCTATTTTATTAATTGATTCATGGAATCAATTAATTATATCAGTTATAATTGTAAATATCTGCATGGTAATGTAGCAAATGAGAAGTTACAGAAGAAATTAATAATTATTCCATATATATGTAAATGTAAGACAAAGAAACATGGAACAAAGAAGTTCATTTTAAAAATCTATGATGAAAATATAATATTCCCCTGAGCATACATTTCTTTGGTACCTTTTCTTCTTTTAAATATGATATTTAGTTTTCAATGCAAGAACTATTTCAAGACTTTTTGTCTTCCATATGCAGAGGCCTCGTGATTTCCATGGTAGTCAGCCTTGTATTTATTGTTCTGCTCCGATTCCTGGCAGGGATCATGATTTGGGTGATGATCGTACTGGTGATCCTGGTGCTTGGATATGGTGAGTTAAATCAAGTCTTGACTGATGGGTTATGGCAAAAGTCTACTAGAAATTCTCATTCTCAATCTGGAGATTTAGTTTAGAGGTGGATAGTATGTAGACTTCCAAATATAGACTTCTAAAATATTCCAAATCATCACAATTGTGAGCTAACCATGATGAGCTGCTGGGGGCTGGAGTTAACAGTATCTAGAAGACTATACATTAATGAGGTACCCATGGCTGATTCTACAGATAAGTCTTCAGTTGTACTGGTGGAGAATTCTGAGAGTTGTAACATAACATATCTGAAAATGTCAGATTGGGGAAAATTCTGCTAAGCCTTTATATACTATGTCTATATGAATTTGCTTTCTGTATCTTTAATCACCGCTCCACATTTAGGCTGCAATACTATGGGTATACAGTAATGAAAATGTTAAACCTTTCGCAAAACCTTTTCTCTGGCTTTTCCAACTCCTGATTTTGTCTTCCAGGAATATTTCATTGTTATATGGAATATGCTCATCTGAAAGGACAGACTGGTTCTGATGTCTCCTTGATGGAACTTGGATTCCAGACAGATTTTCGTGTCTATCTCCATCTGAAACAAACTTGGTTAGCTTTCAGTGAGTTCCTTTTCGAGTATACTACTTAGTGACATGGCCTTTTTATTGAGCAGTCCTAGAAGCTATTTAAAAATTGGAGATCTCTTCAAACTTTCAGACAGATAAAAGTGTATTCTGAATAGTTCTAAGAATTTTTCTAGTTTGTGTTTTTATCTTGCTCAGTAAATGCTGTACAGGACAGGAATCATGTCATTTCCTCTTTTTTTCTTCTTTTTTTTTTTGATCCAGTGATCATCCTGTGCATTATGGAAGTTATCATCATCCTACTGCTTATCTTCTTGCGCAAGAGAATCCTCATTGCCATTGCACTAATCAAGGAAGCTAGCAGGTGAGGCTAACTTGGACTCTTCTATTCTTGGAAATGTCATCCACAACCATCCCCTCAGTTTTGTAGTTCTCAAGAATTGGCTTGCTATTCTTGTCTAACTCTATTCCCATTGGAAAATGTGTAGATCTGTACAGCAACAACAAACAAAAGAGAAAACTCTAAATTGAGAATAATTCTCTCTTTTTGCAAAGGAACAAACTGGTTGTCCATCTCAAATACTGTATAAAACATTCTTTTTATTCATTTCTTTCAGAAGAGTTAAAAGTATGCAGATACAATATGTACTCCTTGAATAGAAACTGTTAACTATCCTGGATATACCGTAGGTTAATTATGGATATACTATACTATAGATGAATATAAGTAAAACCAAGTCCTAATGTAGCCAAAGAACAAACAAGGCTTTATTGTGGCTGGCTATACTAAGGCACTGGAATGGAATCATGTGCTTTTTCTTTCTCCCCATTTCCCATCCCTGTTGCAGGGCTATCGGACACATCATGACATCACTTTTGTTTCCTCTGTGTACTTTCTTTCTGGTGTGTCTCTGCATTGCTTACTGGGCTAGTACTGCTGTGTATCCTTCCTCAATTTTTCTTTCTTTCCTGGGGAAAGAGGATGTATGAAGGGGATAGGTAGCAATAACAACAAATAACCAACTTCTCAGATGTTCATCTCAGGCAAGCAAAAGTGGCATTTTTATTACTATAATGAAAAGTTCCTTGACTGCTTCTAGTTTCTTGTCTACCTCTAATGAAGCTGTCTACAAGGTGTTTAATGATACAGAATGCCAATATGCTGGAACAACTTGCAAACCAGAGGTAAGGAACTTAAAATAATTAACTAGTGAAAATATTTTCATTCAAGCTGTTTAGAAACCACAAGAATATAGCAGTCCACTTCCTGCTAAATGTGTGACAGATCTTCTTGCAAGGGCCTCAGATGAGGCTCACTCCTTCCAGTCCAGTTGACACCTTGCTTTGAAGAGTCTGAGTCAAGCAGATTTCCCTCCTATTCCAGAAAACGGGATGTTCAAAGACTATGTTTGTACTTAGGGAAAGATAACTTAGGGAAAGATAAGCAAGTGTGCACTGTTTTCCTTTAGCAAGTATATACATGAATTTATAGGAGAATTAGCTCTATGCCCTTGTTCATTATTTTAAATTACTTTTTGAAAGGCAAAAGAAAAGGAATAATTTCTCATATAATGTATTAATAATTGATGCATTCTGGACATTCTAGAAGCCAAATTCTGGAAATTCACAAGGCAAAATTTCTGTTCTGCCCAGATTTTTGAAAGTCTGCATATATACTTAGAGAAAAAAAAATAGAAAAGCAACATTATTTTCAAGTAAGACATTTTAATGGAACTTTGACAAATAACAATTTTCTTCCTTCTTTTAGACCTTCAGTACTTCCAATGTCACCAAGCTATGCCCAGGAGCACGTTGTCGCTTTGCCTTCTATGGTGGTGAGACTGCCTACCACAAGTATCTCATCGTCTTTCAGATTTTCAATATTTTCATGTTCTTTTGGCTGGCCAACTTTGTCATTGCCTTGGGCCAAGTCACACTTGCTGGAGCCTTTGCATCATACTACTGGGCTTTTAAAAAACCTGATGATATGCCAGCATTTCCCCTCTTCTCCTCCTTTGGTCGAGCACTCAGGTAAAGGGACTGGGGTGCAGAGGAAAAAAAGATCCATTTGTCTGGATATCAACAATGTTTACCTTTTGGAGGAATAGGAAATTGTTATTAGGGACCACTAAGTTTACTAAAAAGATTGGTCTGAGTTTAGTATAAAATTCTTTGCAATTTGGATAAGATGAGGTGGCAAGGTGTTCTTTGCTTTGTGATCTAGAAAAGAGGCTGATTTCTGAGATGCTAGTATTACAACTGAAATTGATAATAGGCTTATTCAAGCCAATTAGATTCCCTTGGATGAAAAGTGTTGCAGTTTTCTTTGTGAGAACAGACTCAACATGATCACAGGTAGTTTCAAAAACTTCTGAAAATTTGAAGAAGCTTCTGCAAAAGAACTCTCCTACAAAGGCTTCCTACAAATAAATCTTTTCTGGACCTGATAAGTACTGCTTTAGAAGACTCAGTCTCTTAAGCACAGTAATTCCCACAGCCAGAAGAGACTCCAGTGAAGAAATATGTTATCTTTTCTTTAAGAAAAAGTGTACAGGTGTGTTGCAGCCTTCACTAGTCCAATTTCTGTGCTGCTGTTTTCTCCCTGCAGGTATCACACAGGTTCACTGGCCTTTGGATCCCTGATTCTTGCCATTGTCCAGGTCATTCGAGTCATTCTGGAGTACTTGGATCATAAACTAAAAGGTATTGACCCTTTCTATTGTCAAAAACTTTCAGGCATTTCTTTTGTAAACTTACCCAAAGGGATGGTGCTGTTGTGGTTTGTGGGGTGTTAGATTTTTAAAATTTTTATTTTGATCTTTGTTGTAGCATTCTGTAGCAGCTTAAGACCTATAAGAATTTTGCACTGTAGATGGATGGATGGATGGATGGATGGATGGATGGATGGATGGATAAGATAGATAGATGATAGATAGATAGATAGATAGATAGATAGATAGATAGATAGATAGATAGATAGATAGATAGATAGATAGATAGATAACCAGAGGAATGTGTGACTCTAATGTAAGAGAGAAAATAATAAGAACTTTCTCCTGTTCTGTTTTGCAATCCATTAGCTTCTGAGAATATGTTTGCCAAGTTCCTTCTGACCTGTTTCAAATGCTGCTTCTGGTGCCTGGAGAAGTTCATCAAGTTTTTGAATAGAAATGCATACATTATGGTGAGGAATTCAAGCATCTGTGACTTATTTAGGGCATTATTGCAGATTTCTAGATGCTCTGCACAGTAAGGGAAATGTTCTAAATACTTAGTCATATCTTTGGCAAAAGTTGCAAGTTTTCCTTTAAATTCTTTATTACTCATTAAAACATTTAAAGTAGACTTGGCTGCCAAATGCAGCCAAATGCTCATCCTGATCATTTGTGTAGTGCATTTACTTGTCCTGATGATGCCATGCCAATGCTGTAGCAATTATTCATCATTCTTAGTACTAGTTTTAGATGAAAATGCTAATTACCCATTCACATTTATTCTGTATTGATTGTTATTGTGAAGTTGATTGTGAATCATGAAGTTCTTGTGAATTTCAAGAACTGAATAAGGGGAGAGGCATCTGAAGGAATAAATTGGGGGCCTGATAGAGTAGTTGGAGCCCCTTGGTGCCAGGGTTATTAAATAAAGATCTTTTTTAAGCTAGCTGAGTTGGGGGGCTGGGACATGATGGGAAGAAGATAAGGGCTAACAAACAAGATAAGGGATCCAGGCGAGTACAGTGTATTTTTCTTCTTATTCTCTTCCCTTCACATCCCCAAAAGTCATGTAAAAATTTTGTTTGTTTGTTTGTAACATTTATCATGGCATTGATACTGCCTTAATATCTGTATTTGCCCTTTTCTGGCTCTAAGTAATCATGTCTTTGTAAAAAAAAAAAGAATGTTCTTCAATAGACTTTTTTTTCCCCTTTGGCAATTTGCCCAGATTGCTATTTATGGTACCAATTTCTGCACTTCTGCCAGGAACGCCTTTTCCTTGCTCATGAGGAACATAATCAGGTGAGGGCCTGGAAGCTGCTTTTGGTTTTATTATTCTGTTTGGAAGAGCTTGGCAAGTTCTTTATTGTTAGATTTAGTAGCTGAAACTCCATGATAAACTGGTAGAAAGATTATCATTTAAATGTGCTGTGGCAGTGGGCATTCTGTATGGTAGTGCTCACCTTGTGGAACAAACTAGACTCCCAACTGGGAAAGAGTACAGAAATATGAATTCCTGTGTATATGAATGCATCCAAGTTTTCTTGATTGTCACTTGGCAGAATGAGATGGATGACATATAAATATAATACATAAATAAATTGTATCATCTGCTCTAATTATGAAATATTTATATATTTTATTGGTTACATTGTATAGTTTACAGCAATTCTTATAAATCTAAACTTCATATTTTTTTAATGGAAAGCGGCATGAAAATGCTGTAAAAATTCATTCCTGCAAACAGAAATTTATTATGAAAAAATTATAAGGTGTGCTCAGTTTGAATCAGATATTTGACCACATTCAAATGTTTGTTTTGTTTACCTATGATCAAAACAGGGGTCCCCAACCTGTGGGCTGCAGCCCACTACTGCTCTGCAGTCTATTCGCAACCAAGCCACATGAGCGCTCAGGGCCTCACTCATCTAGCATCACAGGTGCTTGTGGCCCCACTTGCACTAGCATCTCTGACGCTCATGGCCCCACTTCTGCAAGCATCTCTGGTGGTCACATCCCCACTCGTGTGAGCATTGCAGGCATTCGTGCCCACTCACACAAGCATCTCTGGTGTTCATGGCACCACTCTTGCGATCAACAGGTACTCCACACATACCTGCTGCACCTGCAAAACCATCCCCTCTTTCCCCCCTCCCCCTGGGCCGCCAATCCAGAAAGGTTGGGGAACTCTGATCTAAAAGAAAAGGTTTCTTTTAATTGAGCTTGACTTCATGGTCCTTTTCTTTCTTTCTTTCTTTTTTTTTGAACAATTTTATTTGGGTTTTCATAAAACAAAAGAAAAATAAAACATCTCTTTTTAGTGAACACATGGTTCCAGGTTTTCACATCTCCGTACAGATACAATCTCAGTTACATATTCATCTTTCATCTTCAATTTCATATCTTATCTTTATATATTCTTTATTAATTTTTCCCTCAAATACTTCCCTCAGGCTTATTTTATAGCTTTCTCATTCATTTCTAAATCTATTACATATCCTTTTCATAAAGTTCGTATCTTCATAATAATTATACTTATACTTTTATCTGTCCTGTTTACAATTTCATTACCTATCCACATTTCAAACATTATAAAACAAGCTTTCCCCTATAGTTGCCAATTAGAGTGTTTCACATTTATATCTTACAGTTAGTTCCCCTCCCATTAAACATTCTACTTTTAAATTATCCCATTAAACAATTATAACATTCCTCACCTAATCGCTGTATTATAACATAAATCCCTTTTTAATCAGATTCCGCATGGTATTTCTCCTTTAAATTACCTCTAAACAATTTTAAATTTCAATGAAAAACAATAATAATTAATCAATTCAAATTCATCCTAGAAACTGTTATTAATCTCCTTACAGTCCTTCTAGTATACATTAATATATTCAATTATGTTTTATATGTTTTCATATTTTATTTAATCTGTTATCAGACATTCCATTGAATAACAATAAAAGTTTAATCTTCCATTTTAATTGCATATTTCTGTTTTCTGCATAATTTATTATTTCTAATATATTCATTCAATCGCTTGTCACCATGCAGAATTCTCTATCTTAATTATATTAGCAGCCATTGTCTCTATGTCTATCAAACTATTTCCTTTAATTCTTGTTCGTTTCTCATATTTCTTTATTTTCTGATTCTGTTTCTTGTAACTTCTTTTCCCCTTTATTTTCCCTTTTTTTCTCATGCCAATTTTTGTCCCCCTCCGTCTTTAATGCTTCTTTCTGTAATCCTCCCTTCTGCTCTTTTCTTGTATTTTGTTTATTTTTCACACTATTCCTTTTTCTAATTACCTCCTATAATCTCCAATTTTTAAGTCCCTTTTTCCTCTCTTTGAATTTCAAACCTCATTGTCCCAATTTTCTGTTAAAGATGACCTCTTCTTTATTCAAGTCTTCTTCCTCTGAAACTTTTTGCTGATCCTCATACTCTAAAACCGCCATTTCCAGAGATTGCAGAACAAAGCCAAACAATTCTCCTTTTTCTTGCAGCTGTTCCTTCATGTTTTTTAATTCCATTTTCAGTTCCAGATAAAGTTCTGCCATCTTTCAACACTTCCCAGTACTTTTAGACAACCAAATTCTATAAAATTACTTCCCAGAATTAATTTCAATTGTACCCTCTAATAGTGCACTGTCCAAAGTTTCCAAAATCATCAAACAGTTCCAGAACAGTTTCTTCTTTCTTTGTTACTAAGTTCCAAGCTCCATTTTCACTTTCCGGGGGCTCTATTTTGATTGTAGCAAAGTTTCATTTACCGTATTTGCCGGCGTATAAGACGACTTTTTTCCCCTGAAAAACATGCCTCCAACTGGGGGGGGTCGTCTTATACGCCGGCAAATACGTTGTTGTCACTCGGTGCAAGAGCGACGGGGGCGGAGCTCCGCAACTTGCGAAGCCCCTTCAAGCCCAGCCGGAGTCTCTCTTTTGGCAAGTCTCGGGGTAGGAAGAGATAGCTGGAATTACCCTCCACACCACCCACCCACACACACACACACACACACAGAGAGAGAGGGAGAGTTGGCAGCTGTCCATCCCCCACCCTTGGAGTCCCGATGGCGCGCACGCGGGGGCTGCTTAAGGGAGGAGGCCTTTCACTTTCCCCCGGGGGGGAGGGGGCAGGCACGTCACTCACTTGCAGGCAGCAGCGCGGCCTCTCCTTTCCCACCCACCCACTCCGCTCGTGCGAGCAGAATGGCAGGCTCCAGGCTTTGCCCCCATCCCTCACCTCCTTCCACCCCCTCCACCCCCCCAGTGGCAGAAACTTCGCCACACGTGGGGACGAGTGGAGGGGGTGGGAGAGCAGCGACGCCGCTCAAAGCTGAGAAAGCGCCATCCTTGCTTTTGCGCTTCGGGAAGAGTTCGTGTTTTTTTTTTTTTTTT